GCTACTGTAGGTGCATGACCAAGCATCTTAGGAATGGATATAACTATGAAATTGCATGTATGCCATATTTTTAAGACCTAGTCCAAAATGATAGTCGGGAAAGAACAGAATCTGCGGACAGCAAAATTGATGAAGAGAACGAAGAAGAAGATAACGAAAAAGACGATGACGACGACAACGATGATGATGATGATGATGATGATGATGATGATGACAATAAAGATAAGAAAACGATAAAGATAGCAAAGAAGGTGAGTTTTGTATTCATTATTTGGTTGATTATGAGGTTGAGCATGATACAATTAATTATCTATCACAATTCCCAAAGTAAATGTTATGAACGGAACGGAAGCTGAGTTTGATAAAACAAACTGATGGCTCGATAATTTTTCAATCCTACCTTGCGAAAACCGAGTTCAATAATTGTTTTATTGGTCATGCCCGTTGTATAGTTGGTCATCTCACTGATCTCAAAATATAACTGTTTGTCAGAAGTTAAGGAGGCAAAGGTTCTAAAACATTTAAAAGTTTGAAAAATCGTTTCACACAAAGATTGTAGAACTTTAATGAAACAATAAGAATTGATTTAGTAGGAAATCCTGATAGGGTAAGATTGCTTTGACTGTTTATGTATAACTTTGTTGATCAAGTTTTGCCTAAAATATGCACGGCTTTCCTATTCATTCTATGTAAAAGTTTCTTAATTTTAATAAATTAACTTGTGTTCATTTTTTTATAATAGCACAAAATAAAATGGGAGAATATTATTTTCATCAAACCTGTTCGATTTAAATTTATAATATTTTTTTGGTCGAGTTTCCATATTGTGTATTCGTATTTCCATAGCATGGCCTCATAACATTGAATAAGATTTCCTTTACAAAACAATTCGTACTTCCCCTGACTCCACGAAATTTCTTGCCACAGGAGATTGGGCCTAGCCAGTATGCCCTCGTAGCTCCGCCATTTTGTAACTGAGAATATTTAGGAGTGTGCATTCAATCATCCAAATACTTTCCAGGGGTGGAGCTAGCCCTTTCTTAATGGGAAGGAGGGGGTTTATTTTAAGTATCTCTTCTCGTTCAGTTCCCTTAAATGTTTCCCTAAATTTCCTCAAATTTCACTAAAATATTTCAGTTGTTTTCCTTCCTTTCCAATTATGTTTTGCCGACTGGGCACAAACTGACCGACTTGGATAAAACAATTGGCCAACTACACGAAGATTGAGGGATGTTCAACCACCTTCCCCCTACATCCCTGTCTAACGCCGCGCCTGACGTTCAGAATAATTTATTGATCGATTAATGAGCGATGTTTCTGTATTATATTTTAGAGACCTCTTCCCTTTCCACGAGTTGTGATCAAAAGGGGTCCATTTAGCGGTGTACAGCCCATACGACGTCCATTCATGAGGAAAGTTATACGCCAACCAATCCCTATGCCACAGCAACTTTTTCGAATGTTTGGTCCAAACCGTCGCATGTCATGGTTTCCACGATATGGATGATCCAAGTTTCTTAATTAATTAATAACAAGAAATATTTGCAGACATTTAAAGACATTACTGATTTGACTTCTATATTGAGTCATTGCATGTCATTTGGACAGCCGAGGATATGCTATATGGTTGGTAGATGCTTTAAAAAACAATACCGTTTTGCATTTATGAACTGAATCACATATTATGTGCATAACACTAAAGGTAATTAGGTAATATTGTGATATATACAGTACCATTAAAATGACTATAAAATAGATATGTAATAACTAAGATTAATGTGTAAAAATATTTTCATGGATACTTTGACATGATTTTCTGTGTAATGCACGATAAAAAACTTATGATAAAACGGTATATATTTACATAAGACAGTTCAAAAGTTCTCATCGTTCTTAACCGACTAATCATATATAGGCCTAACAGTTATAGATTCATCTAGTAAAAAGATTTCAGATATATATATATATATATATATATATATATATATATATATATATATATATATATATATATATATATATATATATATATATATATATATATATATATATATATATATATATATATATATATATATATATATATATATATAGTGAAATGTTGCTGATAACAAGATACAAGTGTTGTATATAGAAAAGGTTTCAATGTGCAAACAAAAGAGACATTTATAACGTAAAATTAATAAAATAAAAGCCACTCAAATTTTGCACAAACGTTTTCGCTTTTATTTTATTTTACGTTATAAATGTCTCTTTTGGTTGCACATTGAAACCTTTTATATATATATATATATATATATATATATATATATATATATATATATATATATATATATATATATATATATATATATATATATATATATATGATTGTAAATATGCACCTGAGGAGCTAACATTAAAGCGAAAACGTTTGTGCAAAATTTGAGTGGCTTTTATTTTATTTTACGTTATAAATGTCTCTTTTGGTTGCACATTGAAACCTTTTCTATATATATATATATATATATATATATATATATATATATATATATATATATATATATATATATATATATATATATATATATATATATATATATGTTTTATTTTATAAACCAATAGAGCATGATATTCTGCGAAATTGAAAAAGTTTGATAAAATCCTTACAGTCTATGACTTTTAAAAAGGCGAAATTTTAATTGCAAGATTTCTACTGCAAAGATTGTTTTAAAAATCGAAACCTAAAATAAAGTTAGGGGTCAAAATGTGAAGATAGGTTACCGATGAAAATAATGAGTAAAATCCAAATCAAGTTGTAAAAAAACGTCGTCTAACTCGCAAAATTTCCCTTATACAAATTAGGCGTCGCTGGCTGGTGAAGTTTTACACTTTTTTATCAGAGTGCCATGGCAACCAATGAATATATTGGGAAAAATAAGTGAAATCGATAAAAGTATAAAATCTCCAGGATTCAGTTTACAACAGCAAATTTCGGCACAAAAGTTATTGCTTGTTTTAAGGTTACATCACACGAAAGACGTGCATTCTGGTAGATTCGACATTGCCCAAATAATCTTATGGAATCTTATATAAATCTAATTTTCAATGAAGAAATCCAGAAAAATGGTGATTAAGAAAATTACGTCTTGTGGGCACAGTGCTAAACAGAAATACGAGTATTCCAAAAAAAAAATATATAAAAAATGAGTTTTGAGTTTTCCGTAAAGATATTTTTAGATCTGTAGAAATTTCATAATTTTTCGGCCGGCTATTTTTTTGAGTCAGCGGAAAAAATGCGCGGAAAACTTTTGTTTTTTCTCGACTATCTTTAAATGAAGGGATTTGAACTAAACACAGACCCTATCGGCTCCAGGTGCATCACTCTTACCTGCAATTCCCACTATTTTTTTGCTTTTAAGTAGGGTATTAACCACCAACAATAAGCATTTATGTATGTGCAAGAATTGCAAAACATTAACCGGATTCATCTCCCGCGAAGCTCACGCCACATACACGCGTGTTTTATGCAGACAAGGGATCACTCTATTGGCCGCGCAGCGCCATCTTGGCTTCACCCAATCAAAGGGCCGTTTACTTGGAGTTATCATTCCACTATTTATGTATCGTGTGCTTCAGCCTGACGTCACAAAATAGTGGTTCTTTTGTTTGATTTTTTACTGTATGTTGTGAATCAGCCTATAATTCATTGATATACAATATCATCAATGCGACATTAATGTTAAAGAAAGTTGATATAGCAGAGTTCATTTATATAGATATGCAATATCATCAATGTGAATCCTAATTTAAATTTAAACATAACTTTTAAAATGAACCCAAATAATTAAACCATGGGTAATAAAAGGACGGAATAAGGAGGGCAACTTACTATAGCCGCCACATTTAAATTTGTGATGCCACATTCGTGTAGGTACCTGTAATAAATAGTTTGGTCTGTTCAAGGAGGCTCCCTACAGTAGCACACGCGGGACGAAGTAACAAACGCTTTGCGAGTACATGTACTAACTCATGGAATCTCCACGATCAAAACAATGAGTAAACACACGGATTTAATTAGCTTGTTGATCAATTTGATGGTGTACCTGGCTGAATGAAAATGTAATAGTTAAGTGAAGAAGCGTAGCGGCACAAGTTCACAAAGCCAAGTGTGTTTGAAACATTTCGAACAAGCTTGGAACAGATACTGACATGAAGTAACGTAAACTTCAAAGGTTTTCCTGAACGTTTTCTCGACTCCCCCCCCCCCCCC